TTTGGTTCCGGAGATCAAACTCAGGACCTAGTACTTGCAAGGCAGGTGGCGGAGCCACTGAGCTAAATCCCCAGCCCTAATGCTTTGCTTTATTTAAAATAAATGAATAAATGAAGCTTTTTTCCTTTTACACAGTAGAGTAATAAAGTGATTAAGAAACACTTATGAAATTCCAGTTTAGTGTCACTCTTTAGTGTGATTAGAAATCATGTAATTAAAATAAAATTTAGGCTTTGATGGGATGTTTGAGAGGATTTCTGTGTTGACCCTGATAAAATTTCAAATAGACGACTAGATTATCAGTCGGTCTTTATTCACATGCTGATCTGCCATATAATTGTGTTTTTATTATTTTCAGAAAATGAACAAGTGTCAGCAGTCTAGCCTTTGAATGACCTATTTGGACCCTGAACATCAAGGGGAATGGGCAGAACCTCATGATTCTTCTGGCCGTTGCCAACAGATCGCTACTACCCCTGGCCCGGAGGTTCATGGCGTGTGCTCTGCTCCAAGCGTTGGGACGTACCCGAGTACACTTCCTTCCATATGGTCTCTGCAGATGCATAGTTCCTCAGCTTGGATGCTGTGTCTGGATACTGGTCTGCACTTCACACACCAGACCTGCTTTGGGACCACATTAAAGAGCTAATTCAAACTCAAGTGTCCTCCACGTCCCCATGTATATCACTATAGATTTTCCTTTTACAGGTTATTTTAAAGATAGTGGTATTATTATTTCCAAGCCATAGCTTGGGCTAAAGGATGAATTTAGAATGTCTGCTAATACCAAGAATATTCTTGTGTATTTGAAAAGTAACTTATTATTATAGTGTTATGGGTTTTTTTTTTAAGGTTTTGTTTGTTTATTTGTTGTGTCTTTTGCAGAGCTCTTGTTAGCCAGTGTTTGTTTGGGGCCATAAAACTGTCTCTGGTCTGACCAAACAGAAGTCATCTCTACAGAGATGATGTGCTTGATCTGTGCAGAGATGGGATTTCATCTGTAGCGCCAGTACGATGGAGGGTCTTGCTATGAATAGACCAGGAAGCTCTTCGCAGGTGAGGTATTAGGAACCTACGGATTGTGATGCAAAAGGAACCTGCCATGGGGTTTCTTACCAGTCCTTTTGGAAAAGGGAGAGGAAGGAGAATAGGTAGGTAGTGACTTTAACTTCCAGAGAATGAAAGTTGGTACTAAATGACATGCATACAGATCCTGAAGTGAAAGTCATGCTGCATCTAATTGTAACTAAAAGTAGAGAGCCAAAAGAGAATGAGCTCTAGAGAGTTCTGTTGTCTAGAAACTGTAAACTGAAATGTGTCACAGCTCAAGTATAGAATTGTTTTGTAAAGAAGTATGATCATAAGTGTAGAGGTCATGAAGATGAGCCTGACGTTGTGCGGCGTTCTGCAGCACCCCACATCTCACAGCGCCAAGTTACGTCCATCTTCCAAACCCTGAGCTCTCAGTAAAGGTCGAAGAACTGCTTGAAAATTCTGTGGGAGAAGGAGGAGCCGGAATGATGCGAATAATTATCTCTCAGTCCTCATTTAGCCCTTGAGAGGCCATGCCTCTCTGGCCTCTTGGGTATGGCACTCTTAATTTAAGTATAAAATTTCAACAAGTGTTTACTGGATTAAGTGGACTTTTCACATTTTTATGAGTTTAAAGTAGTGTAAATTTTTAATTTGTTTCAGTGTAAAGGCAAGTGAAATTCCATAAGATTCTGTGATTACAAGAAAAAAAAGAAAGCCAAAGCCAAAGCCATTAAGGTGCACTACTCTAACCAACTTGGAGCCAAAACAGATTATTTCAGAGTCGTTGGCTTCATGTGGCCATATAAGATTTAGTTTGTGACTTCATTTTAAAAGTGTGTACTTTTTTATCTACTGCTGTGTTTCTATTTCCTGCGTATTGTTTTTTTGAAGACAAGGTCTCACTATGTAATTCAGGCTGGCCTTGGAGTTATTATATAGCTCAGGCTGATCTCAAATTGCAGTGATCGTCCTGCCTCTGCTTCCTAAGTGCTGGATATACTCTTCATTTTAAAACCATGTCACTGCCATGAGGTAAATGTTAATAGTTCATTTTTCCCATTAAAATTATTAACTCTATATTTTAGGGAAGATAACACCTGTGCAAAATCGCTCTGGGGAAAAAAATACTAACATGAGACTTAAGCCTTAGAAGTTAACCCAGGTATGTTAAAAATAAAGCTGCATGGCTCCACAGTTTTCTTGGTCCTCTGAAGTGAAAAGTTGCCTGAATCCAAACCCTGGCTTGAAAGTCACACTGTAGTGATTTGGCTTATGAACTGTGGTCCTCTGAGTCTAGGCTTTTTATTCACTGATTTACATATTATTGTTTTCATGTCCAGAGCAAAACAAAAATGAAAAGTATTTTTGCTATAACCACCTTTTTAATCAAGTTTGGGTATTCTCACTTTTATATACATTACTTCAGAAAGAATGTGCTATTATTTGCACTGCATCTCCTTATTTAGCACGTTTTCAAACCAAATGGAAGCCTTACTTATCTGTGTCCTTAATGGTGTGAATAATACCTGCACAGAGAGCTGAGGCCTGTGGTTTTGGACTTGCACCATATTGCTGCCTTCGCTGTATGTGGCTTTAACTGTGAGTATTCAGATCAGCTGGTCACATTGATCAGGGACTAAAACCAAATGCTTTGCAGTTTGATGCCCTTAAAAATAAACTCTTGATTTTTAGAATCTTAATTTAGGGTACATTTCTGCCATTTCTTAGTTTATCCTAAGACTAGAACAATGAAGCCTTAACCTGTGTGTTCTCCAATTCCAAATCTCCTTTTTTATTGTCATTTCAAACTTATGATCATGTTGAAGACATTGTTGCCTTCTCTTCCCACCATAACTTGACACCAAGCCTGCTGAAGCAGCAGACCCTCAGTGCAGAGTTTGGCCAGCTGCTGAACCAGAGAATCAGTAGGTCCAATACATGCTTCCATTAAAGTTTATTATAATTAATAGGCTCTCACTGCCACCAAGTTATTACTTGGGGAAGAAAACTCCCGTGGGTTTCATGAGGGTGACAGCCACATCACCTCCCTGGCTGGGAGCAGAGGTAATCATGGAATTTCTAAGAACAGACCTAGAAAAGTGTTATCAAGTGTTCTTTCACCTACAAAAAAGAGGAGAAAATATTCCCTTATTTAGTTAAAACGGTGATTGTTACTTGGGTAGAAATGTTTCTGCAAAACATGTTATAGCATATGTATCCATTTAGCAATTAAAGGCTAGAAAAAAGGATAAATCTTCAGAAAAGTGTCACAGTTACAGTACATTTTCAGATTTAAATTTGAACCCCGGTTCATCTTTAGCTTTTGTTATGCTTTTTAAAAAGCTTCTTTATTTTAATATACAGAATGCAGATGAATTTGATCTATTAAAATTGAAATGTGTAAGCTTATCTTAAAAAGACAAAATTGCACAGTTGTAATAATCAAATAGCAATTGTACTGCACAATTCAGTGATTGTAAGGTATCCTGTAACAAGCAATGTTTGTCTCCTACTTTTTGATACCTCTTAAAACTTATGTCTTTTAGAAAGACAGTGCCTCTGTATGCTTTTTGTATTTTTACTGAGTGTAAATATTTGTTATATTTTTGGTTAAGAGAATGTAAAAGTACCATTTATTATTATCATATCTACTAATACTTTGGTGGAATCAATAAAGGATCTACATTAACCTCCGCAGTTTATTGTGAATATACGGAACAGGTGGAATAATTACACCTGCTGGCTCAGGAGTGCCAGCCTGGGACTCGTGTTGCTATGAGGCTTTTTGTTTGGTTTTTTTTTTGAGACAAGGTCTTCCTTTGTAGTTCAAGCTGAACTTCAAATGGCTCTGTGGCCCGGGCAGGCCTCGAACTCATGGCAACCTTCTGGCCTCAGCCTCCTGTGTGCTGGGATTACAGGCCTGAGCCACCACACCGAGTGAAGCCTTTGTTTTTAGGCCTCCAGAAAACTTGAAATGGTGCGTTATTATTCACAGAATCTGTGAAACACCGACTACATCCTATTTGTCAGAACTGTGTGGTATGAACAGCCTTAAGGAAATGTGGAAAGTTGTCTCTTCCATCTGGGTGATTGACAACCCAGACAAAATCAGAATGCTTGGCAATGAAAAGGGGAAGAGCGAATATCAATCAAACTTGCAGCTAGTTGGCCTCCCACAGCATGCCTGCTGCCTTACTCTCTGGGACTGTACGATAATGAAGGCATTTTATTTTATGGGTTCACACCCCAGGACCTTGGCAAGGAAGAAATTGTACTCTAACACCCTTTGTAAAATCTTCCAGTCTGCCTCTGCACCCAGGACAGGTTACTCCTGTGATAGCCGGGTCTTCTGCATTCTCTGAGTTTAGTTCATTCCTTTATTTGGAAAACAATAATCCCAAGAACTTGTATTTGGGGAAAGGGTCTTCGCAGCTGTAATTCAGTTAACCACTTTGAGATGCAGAGATTACTTTGCATTTTCTGTGGAGCCTCCATGCCATCACCAGCATCCTCGTGAGAGGCAACCTGAACACTGGCAGGAGAAGCCATGCAGACAGCGGAGAGATGTGGCCACCACTCTGCAGAACAGGATTCTCCTGGAGCCTGCAGAGGAAATTCTGCTCTGTGGGCATTTTTGCTTCGAATTTCTGGCCTTCTCAACTGTGAGATGGTACATTTCTGTTTCCAGCAACTCATTCTTTGGTCATCTGTTAGCAACTCTAGGAAGAAACACACTAAGTTTACTTTTCTCATGTTGGGGCCCAGTCCCTCACTTTCAGATGTGGTGGTCTGTAAGTCCCCCCGAGGAACCGGCTTCTACTGCTGCCCACACCTGGAACGCGCTGGATGATGCAAAGAGAGGAGCTGGCCTGTGCAACAGCCTTTGGCCTGTTTTCCTCATGTGGACATTCAGGTGAGTGTGTACTTCTGTCTTACTGTGGTTTCAGTTTTAATTTCCATGTGATTAAGGGGGCTACCCATCTTTTCAGATACAGTACTTTCAGGCTATATTTTGTTTGTAAAATGTCAGTTTAGGTCTTTTGTTTTCCATTCATTGATCAGATTTTAACATTTTTTACTAAAGCCTTTTATCTACCAACTTACTCCAGGTTATTTTAATAATTTGTGAGGGGTTTGGGGATTATTTGGCATGCTCGTATCATCTACTTACTAATTGTTTTTGCTTTTTTAAAACCCCTTGGCCTTATCACATTGGCCAAAATGTCCAGTCCTGTGTTGACTGGAAGTGATTGGCATGAAATTCCTTCCTTTGTTCCTGATCTCAGTGAGCACTCAGATGTCACCATTGAGCATGCTCTTTGCCATGTTGTGTTAATTATGAGTTCAAGGAAGGTCCCTTTTATGTAGTTTGCTTCGAGGATTTATGATGTCAAATTTTTTCATGTTCTTTTTGTAAAAAAAATCTATTCAAGAGACAAAATTATTTTCTCTCATCTGTTAATAACTTGAATTACTAGAGGTGGGGCTTTTGTTTATTTTGTTGACCCTCTGCCCATCCGTGCTCCTCCACCTCACCCTCTGTTAGAATAAACTTCACCTTTTTTTTAATTATTGTCTTTATATATATTAGACCCATCTCAGATGATTTCACTGGTAAGTTGTACAAAACACAGAAGATATAACCCTGAGTTACTTAACAAAATTTCAGAAGTAATAGGGATTTCTTTTTTTCCCCAGAACAGGGGATTGAATTCAGGACCTTGGCCTTGCCCCGCACGTGTGGGCACCACTGCGCTACATCCCTGGCCCAGGAGGGATTTCTTAAGGCATAAGAAAATACTGACTATAGGGCTGGAGGTACAGCTCAGTGTTAGAGCCACTACCTGCCATACACAAGGCCTTGGGATCAGTATGGGGTCAGGGGATAACCTAACTCTAAAGAAAGGGATAGATGTATTATTTGGCTACTTTAAGATTAAAGACAAGACATTCCCCCAAAAAATACTATTTATGAGAACAGGGCCAAGGATGTAGCTCATTGGCGCCATGCCTGCCTGGCAAGCGCAAGGTCCTGAGTTCAATTACTGGTACAAAAAAAAAAAAAAACAGGCTAGAGAGTTGGAAAATATATAGTTAATTCATATAACCTTCAAAGGACAGGTATGTAGGTTATGTACTTCACTCATGTATACCACAAGAAAAAGCACCCAGTAGAAAAGTAGTGTTTAAATGACACAGTGAAAAAGAGCACATTGTTCAGTGCACATGTGGAGGGCGTTACCTAATGCTGAAAAAGCCACATGGGGTGGCGCCTACAGTGAAGGAGTGTTGTCCTCTGCCCTTTATGGGGTGTGGTCTGATGATCCCAGGCAGAGAAAAGTGAGCTAAAGGCGGCTCTAAGATAGGCTGGAGCCAGCAGATGGCGCCATGCTCCAGTGTAACTTCTTGTTTGGCCTCCGTCTTAAATGAGAGCATGACAGGTTCCCAGTCATCTCTGCAGTTACATCTGCACACCCTAGTGAAACATTGGGAGAGAATCTTCTTCCAGCGGTAATGAAAATGAAACATTTTCAAACCAGAAAACACGGGAATTTTAGACAAATCTTTGAATTGGGTAATATTTTTGACACTAGCACATGGACAGTATGCCTGTAACTAATTCCTAACAGCCTTTGTAAATTAGGGTGCAGGGTTGAGGATGCTTAATAAGTTTGGGTCTTAAGAGATTCCAAGGGAAATTTACCAGAAAACATCAGTGATCACACTGAGTAAGAATAAACACAAGTTACACGCCTAAAGAACTAGTCAAATTCCTAACAGGAAACCCTGAAGAGTTAACACTCCAAAAGCCCTTCCCAGTTGTGCATGTGTCCTGACAGGTGGCATTTTCGGTCTTTTTGACTTTGTCATTTTGATGGGAATGGGTGATGGCTTATTGTGGTTTTAGTTTGCATTTCCCATGACTACTAGTGGGTTGCATTCCCTTTATATCTGTAAGCAGGATTAGATTTCCTCTTTCATGAAATGCCTCGAGTGTATTTTTCCCTGATACATTTGTTCATTATATATTCTGCATATAATTCCTTCGTCACTTATATGTGTGGCAAATACGTCTTCCTCTCTGGCTTGCTTTTCCATAGCCTTGATGATGTCTCTTGATGAAGCATAGTTCTTAATTCTAGAGTAATTAATTTTCCTTTATGGTTACTACTTTTGGTTCTGTTTAAGAAGTCTTAGCTGGATGTGGTGGTGCATGCCTGTAATCCCAACACTCATGAGTCTAAGGCAGGAAGATCACTATGAGTTCGAGGCCAGCCTGGGCTACAGAGTGAGTTCAAGGCCACCCTGAACTACATGGTGAGATCCTGGCTCAAAGAAAGGACTCTGTGTTATGTCGTGCACAGGTAGGCAGCAGGAGCCATTGACAAAAGGATCCACGAAGCACTGTGAGCTTTCCCCACAGGTTACTCCCAATCTGAGCGAGTCTGGCACAGATCTTGCACCTGCCGCCCCATTGGGCAAATTCTGCAATCAGCCCTCTCCTGGATGACCTTCACACCCCACTCTTAGAGATGCAACATTGTGATCTAATCCCCAAGGAGAGATTTTACACCAGACACTCTTGAAGCCCAAGTCTTTTGACTCCGAACGTAGGTCTATTTTTCTCTTAAAATGAAATCTACCATTGCATTTATTGACTTAGCTTATAGCTGTTGATGACTAAATCACTGCCATTACTGCTAATTTATTAACCTTCTTAATAATAATTTAGCAAGCAGTTGCTTTTGTCCTAGAAGTAGTCTCTCACCTTATTTTCATCCTCATGGACCTCTGAGGTAGGACACTATTATTACTCCCAGATATTTTGGTGGAGAAGGTCCTAGAGATGTTGAGTGACTTGTCCAAAGATCCTCAGCAAGGAAGTTTGGAACAGGGGAAACCAGCAAGATCCTGAAATGAAAACTATCACATTGAGGCATTTCATGTAGAATTTTTGTTTCTTCCTCCTCCCCAGTTTTTTAAATTGTGACCAAAGACACACACACCACACACATACACACACACACACACACACACACACACCAACAAGTTCTTCCTGCCCAAGTACGTGAATGTGTTCTAAATTCATCTGTGGAGTGTGTCTAGGTTAGATTTGTGCATACTGTGCAAGGCAGGGGTCAAGTTTTGTTTTTCCACCTACTGATTGTTCGTATGCCTTTGCTGAAAAGATCAGGCCTTCTTTCCACTGTCTGTTGTGTGAAGTTCCATGCTGTTTTCATCACTGTAGCTTTGTAATGTAAATTGAAATCCAGGATTGTGCTGCCTCCTCCTTTGCCCAGGTTGCTTTTGCTATTCTGGGTCTTTTCTGATTTCACATGAATGTTGGGCTGTTTTCTCTAGTTCTATGAGGAATGTTGTAGGTATTCTGATTGGGATTGCATCAAACCTGTGTATCAGTTTTGAGAGTGTAGGCATTTTGACAGCATTGGTTCTCCCTGTCCAGGAAGAGGGGATATCTTCTCATGTTTTGTTTTGTTTTATCTTTTTTTTTTTTTTTTCAGAGTATGATAGATTTTGTTGTCGAGGTCTTTCACTTCCTCAGCTAGTTTCATTCCCAAGTATTTAATTTTTCTTGATGCTGTTGCAAATAGTTTGTTTTCCTAATTACTTTCTCAGTGAGTTTTTTGTGTACAAGAGCACTGTTACTTTTTGTGTGTTGGTTTTACATCTTGCTACACTACTTAATTTGGTTATGCTAAGAGTCTTTTAGTAGAATTTTGGGGAGTTTTCTATGTAAAGGATCATGTCATGTGCAAATAATGACAATTTAACTTCTTCCTTTTCTGTACATAAGCCTTTTCTTTCTTTTTTTGGATTGCTCTAGCTAATGTTGTGTTCAAGGACTACCAGTGTATTGAATGGGATTGGTGATAGTAGACATTGTCTTGTTCCTGCTTTTAGAGGAGAAAGCTTTCAGCTTTTCCCTAATTGTGATGTTGGCCATAGGTTTGTCAAAAAATGGCTTTTGTTAGATTGAGGTAATGTCCTTTTCTTGTTTTGTTTTGTTTTGTTTTTAATACTGGGGATCAAACTCAGGCCCTTGTACGTGCAAGGTAGGTGGCAGAACCACTGAGCCAAATCCCTAGCCCAAGATACCTATTTTACACCTATTTTCTTCACAGTTTTTATCATGAGTGGATATTGGATTGTCAACATCTTTTTCTGCATTATTTAGATGACCATATTGTTTTTGTCTTTGCCTTTATGTGGTGTATTATTGATTTGTGTATGTCGAACCATCCTTCCATCCTTGGAGTGACACATACTCGGTCATGATGTTTGATGGTTTGTTGCATTCTGTTGAACTTGTGGAGAAATTTTGTTTTTGCTTTTTGTTGTTCTGTTTTTGTTTTTGTTTTAGGTACCAGGGATTGAACTCGGGACCTTTTGCTTGCAAGGCAAGCAATGGAACCACTGAGCTAAATCCCTGGCCCTGGAGGGTTTTTGTTGTGTTCAATAAAGAGACTAGCCTATAGCTGTCTTTTTCAATTCGGTTCTCATCTGGTTTTGGAATCAGAGTAATGCTAGCTGCCAGATGGGACTCTGGGAGTATCCTTCCTTTTCAGTTTCATAAAAGTGCTAGGTCTTCCCTGAAGTTCTTGGAGAATTCAGCAGTAAATCCATCAGGTCCTGGGCTTTTCTTACTTGGTAAGTTTGGGGTTTTGTTTTGTTTTGAGGCAGGGTCTCACTTTACTGTACAGGCTGACCTTGGACTCACTATGTAGTCCAGATTGCCCTCCAACTTGCTGTACTCCTCCTGCCTCAGCCTCCAAAGCGCTGGGATTATAGGCATGTGCCACCATGCTTATAGTCAGTTTTTACTACTGTCTCACTTTCATTGGCCTATCATTGGATTATTCAGGGTTTTTATATCTTGGTTCCATTCTGGAA